AGAGGTAACTATCGTACTTTTTACTGTACTACATCTCAGAGGTACATATTGTACTTTATACTGTACTACATCTCAGAGGTACATATTGTACTTTATACTGTACTACATCTCAGAGGTACATGTTGTACTTTATACTGTACTACATCTCAGAGGTACATGTTGTACTTTATACTGCACTACATCTCAGAGGTAACTATCGTACTTTTTACTATACTACATCTCCTCATCCTTTATTCTCGGGTCAAATACTTACAGTATTTATATGTTTTATTTCATCAAAAGAGGACAAAAATACAACTTCCAATAAGTGCTGGAAGAAGTATTCAGAACCTTTACTGCAGTACAAGTACTACTACCACAGTAAAATGTTCCCTGAGAGTGTGACTTTACAGATATACTACTTGATGTACTGCTATTGTAACCGTGTGTGTCTAACTTTAGAAATGTATTTACAGTATTACATTTATATTGTACTTCTTCTTCACAGTTGCAGGTTTTTCATGTTATTTTACATCAGACATGTCAATTCATGGTCGAATCTGATCATTTTATGTTTCAAACATACAGAAAACATGTAAAATAAACAGGTATAATGGTGTAGAATGTGTTTTGTTACTGTGTGATGTTTCTGGATTAATATTCCTGCTGCGTTAACGTGTGTGCAGCATGTTAACTCCTTTATATCCTGTTTATCTGAACCTCGCATCTCTCACAAACATTCAACAACTCTTCTGTCTGTTCTGCTTGTGTTCATACATCGATGATTGATGTTTATATATATATATAGATTATGTCATAGTGTGAAGCTGTATTTCACATATTTCTGCATATCTTCTCTGGTTCGTGTCTTGTTTTAAATCTTAATCCAATAAACCAGTTTACAATAAACACAGATTATCTGATTCAGTTACGTTTCTTCACTCCGTCTCAGAACAGATTCCACGTTTAAAAGCTGAGTTTATTTCTGACGGTCAGACTGTAGTTTGTATCGGAGCACCGTGAGACATAATTAACCGTCATTACGAGCTGCTGAGGATCCTTTTATACGTGAGGGCCGGGCCCTTGGCTCCGCGTTCCTCCATTACATCATCGAGATGTCCACATGTCCTCGGATGCATTACTGCACTCAGGCTGGTCTTCACCGACAACGTCCCGTAAATAGACACGAACCAACCAGGAGCTCTAAACGACCACAAAGACACAGAAAACAACTACAAGGAGACACAAGAAGATTATAAAGAGACACAAAGCAACTACGAATACATGCAGAACAGCTCCAAAGACACAACAAAAAGACACAACACCACAACAAAGAGACACAACACCACAACAAAGAGACA